AATCACCTCGATTCTGGATTCCGGTGGGATCCAAATGGCTACCCCGGCTGAAGCTGGTGATGGGGCATATGCGCAGTATTTCTGGTGCGGCCAGACTATTTTATAGGCTCTGTCGTGTTCCGGTTTGTCCATAAGGTGTGTCTCTTGGATACACACCACGTCTGGCCATGCCCTCCCTCCTATCCCTCGCAACTGGTCCCATATGGCTTGTGCCTTGGTTGGATTGTAAGTGGCCAGGCCATTTACGTCGATTGAGCGCAGATCTAGATCCGTATTTTTCGTAAGATTCTTCCATGTCGGGCTTTTACTATATAAAATCTCTATTTCTTCCATTTTATTTCCATTTCATTTCGCCCCTGTCCTTTAGCTTCTCAAACCGGTTTCCATTTTTGTTGATCCCAGCAGACGTCCGTGAGAATCCCCCTTCTCACAATCCTGGCCATGCAAACTGCCAGGTCTCTCTCAGACCAGGTCTTGTTCCCTTTCAGTTTAAGAAGCTGTAGGTCCAGCAGCAACTGAGATATTCCAAACCACTGAAGCCCTGAATCTTTGTTATCGTCAAACCTAAGGTACACGTCGGTGTTTGTGATCTGGGGGGAGTCTCTCCCTAGCTGCACTGTGGCCTGTACCCCTGCTCCATATTGCTCCTTTAGGAAGTCCTTCACGCATTGCCAAAACATAAAGTCCCGCATATCGGCATTGGTCCATATGTTGAGCACCACGAATCCGGGGAGGGTAACCCCACCATGCTTGTCCCCGGGACCAGTGGGTTTTAAGCCCAGTTCCCATTTCCCCCCCTTTTTTCGTAGGGGAAATAGTGCCACCCTTTCACGTGACATGAGCAGGCTTTCGTGTAATCCATTCTCTATAGCCTGGCGCAACTTCTGTCTACGAGAGATCAGCTCCCTGTTTCCACCATCCTCCTCTTCCTGGGCTGTTTCTGACTCACCATCCTTTCCCCCTGACCCCTGCCTTGTTATGGCATCATCCTCCATCTGCACTTCAACAGGGGGGGGGTTGGAGGGGGAGGAGAAGCCGG